GCTTAGCAGATTGCCCCACCAGAGACTGGCACCTTTGTGTGTTACAGTGTCTCCGGACCAGTTTGGTTCCTTTGGCTTGGCACTTAAGCCCTGGTGCACCTCACCAATAAACACCACCAGCTCCCCTCTGCCCTTCTAGTGACCCTAGAGGCCAGGGTATCCTGAGATGGCGCCTGGTGACCAGAGGTCACAGCCTCACCTCTTTCCTGAGGAGCACCTGCGGGGAGCAACCCGCACACCGTGGGCATCGACCTGATGGCAGTGGGTTTTGGAGGCAGGGCAACTGCTGCCCGCTCCAGCTCCCCACCCACTCCCCTTGATGGGGACACCCCCAACACCGCTCCTGTCCCCAAACTCCTCTGCTGTCATCCCCGGGCCTACCTGAGGTTCATGTCCCCCTTGGCGGCCAGGCTGAAGATGTTGGACAGGTTCCCTCCTGGGGAGCAGCCGCAGATCAGGATGGCCAACAGCTCGATGTTGTTCAGCCGGAAGAGCTTGCCCAGTGAGAAGGCGGTGAGGGGCATGATCCCATACTGCGCCACCAGGGCGATGGCCAGCCCCTTGGGCTTCCAGAAGTGCGCCTTGATCTTGCTGACCTCCATGGTGCAGCCCAGGGAGATCATGACAATGAACAACATGAACACCAGGATGACGCTCAGCGCCAGGTCCGTGGGGCGCTTGCCAAAGTTGGGCGGCAGGGTGAAATTGAGGGGGGCTGATGTGTTGAGGGTCTCCATCCTCCGGGTGGTGGGGGACAGCCGAGGAGGTCAGCGCAGCCCTGGTCTGCCTCCGTCTTCTGCTTTCACCTCTCAGAGCAGAGTGTGTCAGGGCAAAATGTCGCTCTGGGTAAACAGGGATCACGCAACTCGTGGGGCTGTTTCTCTGGCTGCGGCCCCAAAGGGGAGAGAGCCCAGAGCCGGCTCTGCCCAGCTCTCCTGCCTCTCCTGCCGCCATCCTCCCCTATCACCTGGCGCTTCTGGGGTGGGAAGGCTGTTTTCTCTCCTTCGCCCTCTATGCTCAGCACCCCTCCCTGGTGGCACAGTGGTTAAGTGTTGGGCTTCAAAGCCAGCAGCCCCCCTGAGGGACACACTGAGGTTGTCCGCTCCTGTACAGACGGACAGTCTTGGAAATCCCATGGCACCTGTTTTATTCTGTTCTATCGGGTCACTGTGAGTGAGTACAGTGGCAGTGGGATTTTTGGTGTTCAGCAGGTGCTCTGTTTTGGGGGAACAGGATGGGGTCCACATCAATTCCGCTCAGCCTCTGACCGCTCATTACCTCAGTCTGGAGAAGGTCCCAACTCCAGGGTGGAGGTGTCGCCACATTGGCCTGAAAACCCACGGGGACAGAGGCAGAAGGTCACCTTTGGTTCTGAGCTCTAGGTGGCTGTGGGGCAGGGTGGGGACAGGAAGTGCTGGCCTGGGGGAAAGGGGGGGAGATGGGCCCCGCCTCTTGTCGTGGGTGATGTGGAGTTCCTCTATCTCTAAACCTGCAGGTGCCAGCCTGGGGGCTTCCGCACACTCCTGGGACCCTGGGTTTGGCAGAGGGGCTCTTGGGCAGCTTGGGGCTCTCTCCCCAAAGGGCAGCTCTGAGGGCACATTGGCTGCAGAGCATGGTTTGTGTCCGGATTGCCTGGCCGGTGGCCTGGGGAGCCCCATTGCTTGGGAAACTTGCTGAGCAGTAATCAGGAATGCGTGGCCCTTTCTTTCCGGTTTCCTGACTGCTCCACTTTTGCTCTGCGCCTTGGGCCTCGGACTGGCAGCCAGGCTCTGGGGGAGGGCAGGGCATCCCAGGGTAGGTGTCACTTCCCTGAGCCTCTTTCCTTCCACACCAGCTGCAGGGAGCAATGTCTTCCCGAGGTAGGACGAGGGAGTGGGTCTTCTGCAGAAACAGCTGCCTCTTGGCTAGGTTGGAACTCAAAAGCCTCTGTGTGTTCTTGTAGCTTCACGTCTGGAGAAATAGGTGGCGCGGGTTTGGGGTAGGGTTTCAGAGGGCATAGGCATCCTGGAGTGCTGAAAATGGCTAACACGCTTAGTTGCTAGCTGAAAAGTTGAAGGTTTGAGGTGCCTCGGAAGAAAGGCCTGGTGATCTGCTTCTAAAAGACCATCGGCAATCCACACTCAGTCGCCAGGAGTCCGAATGACCAGTGGCCGGTTCAGAGAGCAGTCTGGGAACCAGGTGTGAACCGCTAGTGAGTGGGAGCAGGTCATTTTGGTGTGAGGAACTACTTAAAAAGGAGCACCCAGGGCCTCTGAGTCCTGCACGGATGAGAACTGGGTGACAGCGTTGACACATTTGCTTTGTGCCCAGTGCCCAGCCACAGCCTGGTGGCCTAGACTCAAACCCCTCATCTCTGAGAGTCTCTGGTATGAATGATTCCCTGGTGCCTGGTGCTTGAGATGAGTTTGTCCCAAGGGGAGCGCAGGCAGGGAGCTGGGCACTGGGTGCTGTTAGGGGTGTGGTGTGGTGCCAGGACTGGGTGCACCCACAGGGTCAGGGCAAGGCCAAAAGAAGGCTGCTTCTACTGTCTGGAGCCAGTCTGAAGTGGGCCCCATCTGAGTGACCTCGAGAGCACTTCCGGTCACTCACTGGTGGCCGCCACAGTGGGATCCAACATACTCTGCTTCTCGGCTGGGTTCGATCAGTCATTGGAACGGTGACACAGCACCCGCAGGAGACTCACACTTAGGAGGGTTCTGAGGGAAGTTAACAGGTTGCAGTTTGGGTGAGAAATGCTTAGGATACAGTTGTTCAGTCAAGACCAAGTTTCTTCTTCGTCGCAAGCAGGCTTCTCTCAGGCCCTTGGCCTCTTTGCCTGGGCAGCACGTTCTCCCACTGTGCATGGTCACCCAAAGTCAGGGGGGTTGAGGGCAGTTAGCAACAACAACCACTATCCTGGAGATTGGAGAGGAGCAGATAAATTGCCAAGCCAAACCCACCATCACAATTCCATTCTGATTCACCGACGAGACTCTCTAGGACTGAGCAGAACTGCCCAGACGCTTTCCATGGTCCTGATGATGTCCTGAACGACCCGTTGAACTACTGGTGGAAAAGTCTGCAGTGGGAACCATCAGTGGCTCCACAGGAGGAGGACGGGGTGTCTGCTCCCATAAAGGTTTACAGCCTCAGACGCCATAGGGAGCGATTCTGCTCCTAGGGTCACCATGAGCCAGAGCCACCTACTGACAAGTCAAGAAAAAGAAAAGAAAAGAAAATCTGTACAGGAACAGCTGCTACCTCTTTCTCTTGGAGAGTGGCTGGTGGGTTCGAACTGCCAGGCTTGCAGTTAACAGCCAAGCACTTAACCACTGCACCCCCAGGGCTTATTCAGAGTAGCAGATACCAGTTCATAGTATTTTATCCAAACCTTTCATGGTTTCAAGTTGTGAAAAGGTGACATGAGCCACAGAGTACTTGATAACATCCTAATTAGGGTCCAGGGTCATATCTCAGAATCATATCAATATTTCTTTAGTGACTCATAGGATGGGGTAGATAGCAGCTATAAACAGCCTCTTACCAGTTCAGAAGAGGCTTTATTGTCAAAGGAGTGATAGTAAAAAATGATAATAAACAACTTCTGGATTTCAGGACATTAGGTGTTTCGAGTTAAGAAGGCAAATCTGTATTTAGCTCCATCTCAAACGCCAGGCATTTGACTTACATCTGTCGAAGAAAGCATCGGGTTGTCTGGGAAGGGCCTGCCCCTGAGGCCAGCAGAGGGTAGGGCAGGTTCCAGGAGAGATCATTCTTTTTCAAGGGACTGAGTATCAAGAGGAGACTACCAAGTTCTTTTCTAATGAGGGCCTCGGGTTAGATCCCCTGGGAGAGGGGAAGGGCTAGAGAGAGGGGCAAGAGCTAAAGAGGCTGTACAGTCGTCAGCACTGTTTGTTAGTTATGTGTCTATGTGGCTTCAAAGCAAATAATACCTGCCCTGTGAGCCAACATTTGCTTGGAAATGTGCACAAAAGCTGCTAACGACAGCAATGATAACAAGCAGAGAGCCTTTTACAAATTCTCGGAGGGTTGATTTGTTCTACATAGATATGAAAGTTTTTGAAAGAGGAGACCGTGCGTAGGTTGTGGAGGCCCAGTGGGTCCTGGAAGAGCGACCCTCTGATGAGCTGGACAATAGTGATGCTTCTGAAGCACATTTGTTGGTGTCTGGGGGTGTTTAGGGGCCCAGGCGGCTTAGCAATGTTGACGATAGAAGGTTTAGTCCCGCTTTCCTGGCTGGTAGGTCTGGTGGATGCTGGAGGGGCCTGTGAGGCATTGGGCCTTTGATGGGCTCAAGCTTGGTTGGCGGGATATTGTGGGTTAGGAGTGGGCGTTGGGAAACAGAGCCCATTGGTGCTGGCTGATGCTTCCTGCTATGTGTCGGTCCCGTCCTCCTGGTGAGCAGGGGCTCCTGACTCTTGATGGGTTGCTCTTTCTATTCCCTTTTTAAACTTTCCAAGGACGCACTCTACCTCCCTGAGAACAGCCTTTATTTGGTCCAACAACTTTTACTGAGGAAGCTCTTCAAATGGTCTTCCCAGAACCACTGCCCGACTCTCCACAGACAATGGTGGGGCTGGGGGAGTGGAGGCAAGCTTTCATCCCGGGAGCATAAATTCAAGCCAATGGTCACTGGCCAGGAGAGAGTAAAGGGCATGGGAGACCAAGTTCCCCGGGTTGAGAGCTGCAGGACCCACGGGGTCAGGAGTCCGCTACAACATCGATTTCTTTCCGCTGAACTAGAGTTACACAAGTGACACAGATCCCCTTGAGACTCGTCAGGAAAATGAAAACGAGTACAAAGGAGAACACAGCCTGGCGCTTTCTCACCGGGTGCCCAGGGGCCTCAGGATGCTGCGCAGCACTTCCGGACCTCGCACATGCTAACTGGAGTTTAGTGCAAGTAGTCAAAAAGATGTTGACCACGTGAACACCACAATCGACAAAGACCTGGGCAAGCTGGGAAGGGGGGTCCAGAGCCGCATGGAACCCGCAGCCTGTGAATCTACACTTCTCTGCAGGGGCTCATGGAAATCTCTTGGGGTGCCTTCCTTCAAGTGGTGCCCAGGGACACGCCCTCCCCGCCATCCCTTAGCTACCTCTCCGGATCCTACCTTTATACACATATCCCCCTTCCCTGGTCACCACGGATTGTGCAACAAGAAGTGAATCTGTAACACACACTAGTGTGCTTGCATCACATCATGGATTGTGCTAGAAATGTCTGTTTACAAGTGGCAGGATTTTAGTGTTGAGATCTTAACCTTGCCTGTACCCAAACCTGAAAGACCCTTGTCCTGATTCCTGTGGTCCCGCCCCTGCCTGGCTGAAAAGGGACCTCCCAGACTCGTAGAGGAGGCTTTTAGAATTGTAGAGAGGAGGAAGCATGAAGCAGGTACATACTCACCCTATTTAATAGACACGCAAGCCAGAGTCTGGAGGATCTTTTAGACCACTGTGATAGTTATGCTTTGTGTCAACTTGGGTAGGCCAGGTTAACACCTAATAATCCCCCAGGCCACAACTTGTCTGTCAGTTTTGTCATACTGTGATTGTTTGTGTGTGGCTATGAGGTTGGGGGAGATGTCGCTGATATTTCAAATACCAGCAGGGTCACCCAAAGTGAATACCGTGTACACTCGAGCATAAGCCGACCTGAATATCAGCCGAGGCACCTAATTTTACCACCCCAACTGCATTAAAATTGTGCCCCCAAACCAGGCTCATACACGAGTGTGTATGGTAGGTTTTAGGAGAATTTCCAGACTATGAAGAAGGCACAGGTCGTCTGTTTCAGAGGAACGAGCCACGGAAAACCCTGCGG